CTGAATGAATTAAGAATAGCCAAAGTTAATTACTTTTTTAAGCCATTAGCACCTCAGATTGTCCATTAGCGTTCTTATAAGTCCCCCTAACCATGTCGGTCTGTTTGTCCGCCAAAAAGTGGACTTGAGGGGGTACTATTATATGGAAAAAATTCTAAAATTTGTAGATATGTTCATATTTTTGTGTAAGTTTTCACCCCCCAAATACACATTTTTAGCCAAATCCTTTGAAATATGGTAAAATCAGGAGATACTTTTACATTGGCACTACTTCGAGACATCGACCTACATTGAAAACATTCTTCTAGCCCTTATAATCCAATATGACAAATAGAGACCAAATCAAAAATTTAACAGAACAACATAGCATGTCAAACTGAAAAACATTCCGCGTGATTTAAATGAGTAAAAATAGTTTTATCCACCATATTATCATATAGATGTATTTCCCAAATCTACGTTTCCAACCAATATTCTCTTGAGAGTTACAAATTCAATAGAATACAAAATTTTCTTTTCTGACCACACATTATATGTGAAAGTGGACTTGGGGATACTCCAATGTGGGGACTTTACTTAAATAAATTCCTATGTGGCAATTATCTGTATGATGGTTCCCTAACCCCTTAGAGACAAAGATGCCAAATAAGGGCCAAAATATGAAAAAAGTGGCCAAGACCCCAAAAATAGCTTAAATCATATGATGGTTATATAAATATAAAATCGGGTTGTACCCTTATCCGTGAGTTATGATCGATATCATGACCTGCAAAAGTGATTTAAGGTATCTTGAATGTTTGGGAAGAATTCCTGGAAGGATAGAAATCCTTTTCTTACTAAAAGTCCCATTCGCTCTATTATTTTGCACCCTTTAAATTTGGTATTTTACTGATTGTACTTCCAAAGAATTTTGCATTTTGAGCTCTCATTGGACGGATTATTGTCACATGAAAGAAGTAGGTCCACGCTTTGAAATGAGCTCCATTAGGCTTTTTCTGTCATTTTTGGTTGTTTAAATGTGTTCGCAAATACAAATTAAAAAAAAAATGACAAAAGAAGAATAGCAAATTGAAAAAATCTTCAACTTGTTCGCTGATTTATTACAGCAAATGTTTGAAGACCCTTACTATTTTTTTAAAATTTGATTCCACTGAAAATCTTTTCGATTTTTTCCCGATTTGAGAATTTTTGCAATGAGATCTCTTTTTCGTGATTTTTTAGCGAATTTGAAAAAGTAATTATCTTTTAATTAATAATTATCTTTCTTTTGGTGTGACCGCGTTAAATTATTTCGATATCATCTATTCCGTTTCGCCACCATATAATTCGCTACTACACTTCCATGTAACCCCCCATCAATTTCAGTTCTCAAGAAATCAAGTCAATTAAATAAATTGGTATAAATATTCGAATTCAAAAATAAAATAAAAAAAACACTACAAATGTACATTAGAAAAAAGTAAGTCAAAATGGAAAAAAATCATGCAAAATAAAACATTACTATCGTACATTTGAAAAGTCAAAATGAAAATGTTAATATATCACATTTTTACGCGATTTTTTTGGATATTATCCTTTTCGGAGAGTAGACAACTCCGAATTTGTGTGAATCGTTAAAATTAATCCAGCGGTTCTTAAGTTATAAGCGTAGTAACTAACACAACTTACATTTATATATATAGATATATATATATATATATATATATATATATATATATATATATATATATATATATATATATATATATATATATATTTTTTTTTTTTTTTTTTTTTGACTTTTGAAATGTACAATAGTAATGTTTTATTTTGCATGATTTTTTTCCATTTCGACTTACTTTTTTCTAATGTACATTTGTAGTGTTTTTTATATTTTATTTTTGAATTCGAATATTAATACCAATTTATTTAATTTACTTGATTTCTTGAGAATTGAAATTGATGGAGGGTTACATGGAAGTGTAGTACTGAATTATGTGGTGGCGAAACGGAATAGATGATACCGAAATAATTTAATGCGGTCACACCAAAGTTAAAAGATAATTACATTTTCAAAATCGTTAACAAAATCACGAAAAAAGAGATCTCATTGCAAAAATTCTCAAAACGGGAAAATATCGAAAAAAAATTTCCAATGGAATCGAATTTTAAAATAATAGTACATTTTATTGACAAACTTTGTAAGGGTCTTTAAACATTTGCTGTAAAAAATCAGCGAACAAGTTGAAAATTTTTTCAATTTGTTATTCTTCTTTTGTAATTTTTTTCAATTTGTATTATCATATTGAATTCAGTGGATTTTTTTGTGAACAAAATAAAGAAAATTTTTCACTATATAAAATTTTTCACCAAAAAAATGAAATAAGTGCGAAATAGGATGTTAACTGACATCTACCTTTCAACTCAAGGGCCTACATCGTGATACAGCTGGAAGATGCGAACACATTTAAACAAACAAAAATGACCGAAAAAGACTAATGGGGCTCATTTCAAAGCGTGGACCTACTTCTTTCATGTGACAATAATCCATCCAATGAGAGCTCAAAATGCAAAATTCTTTGGGAGCACAATCAGTAAAATACCAACTATAAAGGGTGCAAAATAGTAGAGCGAATGGGAGTTTTAGTAGGAAAAGGATTTCTATCCTTCCAAAAATTCTTCCTGAACATTTAAGATACCTTAAATCGCTTTTGCAGGTCATGATATCGATCATAAATAACCATCGCATGATACAAGTTATTTTTGGAGTCTTCGCCACTTTCTTCTATTTTTGGCCCTTATTTGGCATCTTTGTTTCTAAGGGGGTAGAGAACCTCTTCGCATAAAATTTTTGGAGTAGGGCCCATATTGGTCTTGACCACTAAAAAATTGTATTTATGCTACCCTGGGGTAAGGAATCATCGTACAGATAATTGCCACATAGAAATTTATTCATGTAAAGTCCCCACATTGGAGTATCCCCAAGTCCACTTTCATATCTAATGTGTGGTCAGAAAAGAAAAATTTGTATTCTATTGAATTTGTAACCCCCAAGAGAATATTGGTTGGGAACGTAGATTTGGGATATACATCTATATGAAATAAATTGTGAAAACATGAACAAATTACAAATATAAGGAAGTAGCACGGGACCGAATATGGGTTGAATCGTCATTGAATTATACTATGATGAAAAATATGGACTTTATGGGGTCTCCAATTTACAATTTAAATGACAAATAAAATTAGTTCCCATATTACGGTAATGGGTGTAAAATAGTAATTATATTTGACTATTCTGAAATCAGTCTGACCTCAATTATGAGGTGGATAAAACTTTTTTTACTTATTTTAATCACGTGATTTTTTTTCAGTTTGACATGCTATGTTGTTGTGCTATATTTTCGATTTGGCCTCTATTTGTCATCTTGGATTATGGTGAAGAAAGTTTTCAATGTAGGTCGATGTTTCGCATTTTACCATATTTCAAAGGATTTGGCTAAAAATGTGTATTTGGGGGTAAAATCTTACACAAAAATTTCAACATATCTACAAATTTTAGAATTTTCTCCATGTAATAGTACCCCCTTAAGTTCACCTTTTGGCGGAAAAACAGACCGACATGGTTAAGGGGACTTATGAGTACTCTAATGCACAATCTGAAGTGCTAATGGGTTTAAAAAAGTAATAATAATTATGCTTTGACAAATATGCATAATAGACAAAAACTACGGGCCGGCAACGCGGACCGGGCCAGCTAGTATATATATATATATATATATATATATATATATATATATATATATATATAAATTAAACTCAAGTCGACTTCATGAGACTGCCTTCGTTTCCTTTTTATTTTGGATGTTTTTCGTCAAATCAAACTTCGTTTAGTGGGTTATTAACATTTACATTGTAACATTTAAAGTGCGACTCAAGTATTTTCACCTTTATCTACTTACTACTAACATTTTATAATATTGGTACGTATAGACATGTGTATTCACACCTGCACTTGGCTTTAGCGCAGATGACTGTGCAGAGATTTTATCGAATCTCACCACTGGGGACCTGCAGAGCCGACATTGTTGTTTCTCGGGAGGATACTCGTTTGTAATAGATTAATTAAATTATAATACTCGTTTGAGTGTGTAAACAACCATTGTCTCGAAGTATTTTCACCTTTATCTACTTACTACTAACATTTTATAATATTGGTACGTATAGACATGTGTATTCACACCTGCACTTGGCTTTAGCGCAGATGACTGTGCAGAGATTTTATCGAATCTCACCACTGGGGACCTGCAGAGCCGACATTGTTGTTTCTCGGGAGGATACTCGTTTGTAATAGATTAATTAAATTATAATACTCGTTTGAGTGTGTAAACAACCATTGTCTCGAAGACAAAGCTGATTTGGTAAATAAAAGACAATCACGTGCTCCGAAGCCAATCACTCTCATCAGCTGTATTAATGCACACCTTTGTATGTGTATTCATTATGTTTGCTGATAGCGGAACGCTGAAACAAAATCAGTGCGGCTATATGTTGTTTCGTGTGTGCGGGTGTGAGTTCTGGTGCGGTTAGTAGCACTCATGCGCATCTCAAAAGCGTCATAGTGAAGTCCTTTGGCAATTTCCACATACAAGCTGAGAAGGTTTCTGGTAGAACACCCGAGATTTTCTTTGTTATACGTTGTCTGTGCTGTCAAACAGCCAGCCACTCATTGTATTAACGGTTGGCTTTGAGCATTTTCGTCTTTGTTGTTGACGACGTAGTCTCTGGCCGTAGAGAAGTTTTATTTTATTTAGAACAAAATCACCACTCTGAAGAGGAAAAGAGAACATGTCGTGTCTCCTGCAATGAATTTCGTCGTTACCCTAATAGGAAGATGTAGTTCTCCAGTTAATTTTTTTAAGCTAGCAATCAGTGCCAAACTATACGCAGCCAAGAGTGGATTTCGAAGAATCGTTTCAAAGAAAACAATGAAATGTTAAAAGAAAAAGCCAACAACAATAGATATATACATAAAAAGAAAAATAAATCATATAACAAAAAACCAATAATACTTTCTAAGGAAAAATCGTTAAACCTCTATGCTGAAGTTTTGCAAATTATTGCCTATGATGATTTAAAGAAAATATAAAAGGAGTAAATTGTTTTAAAAATTAACAAAGTGTGTATCGTTCTGAACAAATAAATTATATATGTACAAAAGAAAAAGTTGAAGTGGGTCATTTTAAAGTGGAGGAATTTAAGTCAAATGGAAAAAAGATATCACTGAAAACAAAAGTATATCAGTATGAAAAAAATTTAAGTTGTACATGTTTTTTTTTTGTTGGAAAATACTTATTGTCATATAGAATATGAGGAAATTTCCTCACCCGTCCCGTTATTGATGTATATGCAGTGCTTGAGTTTCTAAAGAATGTTACACACATATAAGTATAGGTGCGGGTACGAGCATTAGTGATTGGCCTTTTCAATGGCTGGATATGTTTACACGGAGTCCTCCCCACTAACCGCCCAGTGAATTTATGCGCGTGTATGTGTATTCCTATTTTGTATGTACACTGTGAATATTGGCTAATTGTAAAATAAATGCATAGCCTTCTATTGGTGGACGATGAAAGAGTATGCCTATGTTTGTTCGAGTGTGGATCAGACCATGCACTATAAATGGGGACACACTTCTTGAATTGTCTGACAATGGAAGGAACAAAAAGGCCGAAACCAACATTAAATTACAAATCAATATCAATTTGAAGAAAAGTGCAAAAGAAACGAAATGTATAGAAGAAGAGACGAGAAGAGAAGACAACGAAAGGAAAACACAATTTCGAACCCACCCAGAATAGAAATGTCAGTGTGTCAGCCGCATATGTAAGAGTGTTAAAAGGACATACACATGTACGTATATAGATAACATGAACTAATGGTCGAACAAACGAACACAAAAGCAAACAATGATAAAGAACGAAATACTAAGAAAGCACAAGAAAACGATTTACAGAAATGTAAAAAGATACATTTCATTGAGTACGACCACTATCGCGTATACAGAAACACTAAATTCCAACACATACAGTCACACACGAGTACACCAACACCCATACACATAGGTTCACAAACTGGCATTGCTCAAGAAATGCTTTTCCTTTTTAACCGTATTCTCCTGTCCACTGTGAGTTAGTGTGTTGATGCTTGACAAATACATAAACATCGTCCGTTCCGTGTAAGCGAACTAAAGAAATGCAGGTTGTTTCATAGACATCAATGTCATTTGCACAGTTTTTGTGTTTTTACATAAATCACATGTTTGCATAACACTCACGGACAACTTGACCTCACCTATCTATCCAGAATTCGGCAAAGCACGTTTATCCACGAATTCATTGTTTTTTTTTTTGCTAATTATACAATTATTATATAATGAAAAATTATGAATGTGTATGAACATCCTCTCATTCTGTATAACCTAGCTATGTATCCTCAGCATTCGCATAAACATGAGTGTTATCTTCTGCTCGTTGCTTGACACGCGGGTGTGCCGCGGATGATGGTTGGCTAATAACGAAAGCCATAATTTAAATGTTAATCTTTTTGAATGGGGGAATTATTTACAATTTGCTTCCACAAGATTTTTTTTACAAATTCTTTAGTCATGTCCAATACATGGACATTATAATAGATATACATACATACAGATGGACCTCTGCAAGCATGTGTTCATGGTATTTGGAAATCCTTTGAATGAAAACGAACAAACAAGAAAAGCCATATACAAATAAGAAAGTACCGGAGTAGGCTTGAAATCTTTTTCATTTAGGAATCAAAAAACTAAATTGCGTCATTTTAAATATTTCCAAATATCAAAGTTCCTTCTATAATTTACGCCTCCTACCTTTTTAAAACGAGTACAAAACGGTTACGGTGCATGTAATAGCATAACATGCTTTGCATGTGAAATAGGGTGAAGCATATATCGGAGGTTAAGCTATATCTGAACCAACTTTGTACATATTTTTTGACTTTTTCTAGTCAGAACTTTATAATTGGACGAAAGTAGTGTAGTTGGTGTATAATAGATATATATGTGTGTGCAACATTCAAATCTGAACCGATTTCGATAAACTTTGACAATTGTGTGTCTTGCGAAGACACAAATAGGTAAAGACTTGACAAAATATATTTTTTTTATATAATGGTGTGTGGCTAAAATATGTAGCTCACAGCTCACGGCATGGTCATGCTAATAACAGAAATACAACTTCGATTGTTCGATTCTTTAAATATATTTAAACTTCTGTTAATATTATTCAATTTGTTGGCCCTCTATGGAGTAGGTTCCAAAGAAATAGGCCAATATTGTCAATTTCCTATCGGAGATAAATAAATATGATATAGATATTGCGTCGTGCCAGGTTTGGACTATATTGGTTACTTCTTTAAAATTATATTTATACGATCTGTGATAATTTGTGGAAAATGTTAGAATGTGCGTAAGGTACCAGAAGTACACTTCATCTAATACTGATAAAAATATTGGTATGGGCAAAATTACAAGAAATTCGAACATTTATATCCTATTTTATGTGAAATCATAAATTCCATATTAATCTCAGGTTTCTGGTTTCATGTTATGACAGATAGAGGTATTGAAAATTGTAACCCTTTGTGGGTGAAGTACCAGTTGGGGTGCGCATACATATATCATCTGTTTGCAAAAATGTTTTTTTGTATGAAATTTGAAGGGAGTTGGATGCTTATTTCTATTTCTTTGAGTTTTGTTTTTCAAAATCTTGAACCCTATGTGGGGGAGTTACCAGAAGAAATTGTACGATCTTGTGTTGATGAAAATATTGAGATGTACCAAGTCCGAAAGGAATCAGATGTTAATTTCGCGTTTTATAAGCTTCGTGGATATTCAAAATGTTGACCCTTTGTGGGGGAGGTACCAGAAGGAGTGGGCCGATATATCCCATCATGCTAGTAAAAATAATGGGATGTGTGAAATATGAAGAGAAACGAATGTTTATTTCGGATTTTATTATCGTTTTGGTTATTCAAAACGTTGACACTTTGTGGGAGAGGTACCAGAGGAAATGGTCCGATCTCTACCATCTTTATAACAGATCTTGTATTGCTGGAAATATTGAGATGCACCAAGTCTGAATGGAATATTTTTTTGAAAATTTCGACCTTTTGCGGGGGCAGGTACCAGAAGAAGTGGACAACGGAGATAATTCAACTTGGTGACAATATTTTGACTCTGTTTTATCCCATCTTAATACTTCTGCCTTTGTATCTTGTACTAAATATTATTAATATGAAATATGGCATGCAGAGTACGTCTTTTGGGGGACTTAAATGACAAATCGGATAATATATATATATATATATATATATATATATATATATATATATATATATATATATATATATATATATATATAAATATGTCAGGATTTACACCAAATAGCATTCGTTCTTGAGAAAAACAAATTATATGTGACAATCGAAATGGTACTTGTACTCTGCCTAGAAAAATACATGAACATAAATCAACTCAGAATGTGATACTATGGATATCATCGAAAGGAACTCCTTTTGTTGTGCATGTGCACAAGGACTTAACTCCCTCTACCGCAGTGTGGCATATGATATAAAAACGTTTAATATTGGATCCACGTCCACTTTTGTCAGTGAAATTAGTTCGTAATGAGTCTTACCGTAAAGTCGATGGTACCGACTTCCTGCTACAGTGGATGCAAATCTATCTATTGCAAATTCTGAATATTCGGAGGATGTATGGGTAATATAAGAAATCGTAGGTCTTCGGTCACCGAAAACAGAACCCATTACAAACAATTTTAAACCACTCCGCTGAAAAATGTAGCTAAAATCATCAGAATACCGAATATCGAGAGGTACTGTTCTATGGAGGCTAAGTGAAAACATTTACCCGCATAGGCAATATTCTGCCACAGGAGGTAGAACCAATTAAAATCTTTTTGTGCCGAAACTTAAACAATTCCCTTAGAAAATGTGACTAAAATAGTCAAAATACCGAATATCGGGAGGAACTTGTTATATGGAAGCAGTAAGGAAAAGTGGACCTGTATATAACATAATCTGTCGCAAGAGGTATAACAATTTAAAATTCTGTCAGATTTTGGGGGTGAGGAAGCTTGTTTTAACTAATCTATTGTCATATCGAAGGTCTTAGTCTCGTTTTTTGCCCCTTGCCACCCTGGTAAAGAATATGTCTCCAGCAATAAGGAAAAACTGGTGAGGGCTAGGAAATCGGAAACAGTTTGTGTGTTTTTGTGCACTGAAATTGTTGCAATAAATTAAGATCTACCTGGCTAAAATTTCTTCCGCCATTTAAACGGGCTTGCAATGGACAAATGCCGACTTCGGTTCCCATCGTACAGCTAAACCTCCTAAAGTGACGTTGTGTTGGGGCAATATTTGCTGAACTATTTGGGACAGAATTTTTGCAGACATTTGTGACATAATATTCTGTGGCAAATTTCCCGAATTTAGGTTGAGGGGCGAAACAGTCACCACATGTCCTGATGGACATACCCTTAAGCCAGTATTTGTCTGTTGTGGGCTCTAGACTAAGAAATTATTGAAAGAAAGCAACAGAATTTCTGTAAGATTAGAAATTCAGTTGCCTTTACAAAATCCCAAATCTGTTTTATTCCATTTAACATGATCTGATTAAGGTCTGGTATGTAGTCGTTCTCTAAGAATTGGATTCTGATATTTGCAAACGCAGGGCATTGATAAAGAGAATGGTCCAACGTTTCATCATCTTCCCAGCATGCCCTGCATATCCTATCTTGTACATATAAGCTTGTAGGCCCAGCTGGCCCTACGTCTTCAGGTCCCACGCCCATGTCTTTAACTCTAGACGTGATGCATTTGGCGGCACTGGATTGTCAAAGTTTACTGTTGCTGTCTTGGCGAGAGCGTTCGGTGTCTCGTTACTACTAATCCTCATATGACCTGGTACCCTATATAACGCATGTTGATCCGTGTTGAAAATACTTGTTGATTGGATTTATACATTCCAACACCGTTTTCGAAGGCATGGTATCGGATTTATAGCTTTTATGGTGATGTTACTCCACTTCAAGGATCGTATTGTGATCGGGCAAGCAAGAG